TGAAGAACGACTTTGCACACTTGCTGGAATGCTGCAGGCTCAGCCATTGCATTCATTGTTACGTTAGCGTCCGAATTGAAGACTTTGAAATCGGAATGCCGGTTGACGGCGACGGAAGGCCCCACAACAAGCGGGTTAGCCGTGCTACCCGAGATGTACTCGGTGACAACCTTATTATCAAAGGCGGCAACAGACGCATCGAGCCCGACCTGACCATTGACGCCGGTGCCGGGCGGGACGAGATCCGGAAACTCAGTCGAGTGTACCCCACCGAGGGTATGCCCACAAGCTGTGACCTGAATCATCTCGGCAGGCGTGAAGCCCATGCGGTCAAACTGTTGGCGGAAGGTCACTACCGAGTTCTGCGGCTGCGGAACGCCCAAACTGCCTGCCGAGGTGGCATCTTTCCTCCCGAGCCGGAGGGGGATAATGGGACCACCACACTGGCGGACTGAGGCGTAAGTTCCAGCGGCGATGATATCGGCCATGCTCGACCGGCCCGAAAAGTAGTTCGCATAGAATTTCAGGGACGTGTTGTGACCGGGACCCGTATTCTCACCGTTGGACAGCTCGAACTGAATTGAAGCATCGAGCCCTCCAGTACCAACGTAACGGTTCGCCGTCGACATGTCGCTTTAGCCGCAAAAGTTAACTCGCCCCTCTCTCGAACACCTCGCGGTGAGCATAACATACTGGAAAGCGATGCGCAACCATTCCGACGCGGATACTCGTCCAGGCCCAGCAGTCTCAGCACTGCACGGGCTGATCATGTCGTTGAACAGCCTTCCTTTGAACCCCTGAAGCTGAAAAACAATCTCCTCCATCTCGTCGGTAGCAGCGGGCCATGTCGGATCGGCGCGGGCAACCCTTGCCACAAGTGACAGAAAGCCTGCGAATATAGGCGCGCTGGGTTTCATATTCGGATTCGGTCGGATCTTAATACATTATATCAGGTTGGGATAGGGAGTGAGGTTGTGGAGATCTAGCGCAGGGCGCAAGGAATGGACTGGTTCAGCGACTTGGACAACGAAGCCAAATCTCAAACCCACGAGAAAAGGAACGAGATGATGGTCTTGGTGACGGGCAGAGAGAGAGTGGGACGTTATCGCGAAGGCGAAAAGTCCGACGGGGTTCCCGCCAAGGGGGACTGCGATGAAGCGGCACATTCTTTTAGTAACGGCTGGCATCGCCGGGATGTTTGCGATCTCCATGTATTATCCCATATCCTAGCTGAAGGCCCCTGCGATTCGTATTTCCGCAGGGCTCATGCAGCGCGGGTGGGTTGAGGATGGAGGAGAGGGAACGCCGCACCCGAGATGCAGCATTGCCAAGCGCCAGCTCGCTAGAAGACAATCCCAAGCCGTGTGATTGGCCTGCTTGTCCAGCCCAGCGATGCCGAGGCGAGCCTTTTCCCAGAGGCTGCAGGGGCTCGTGTTTGTAGTGGGGTACGTTGTGATGTATCGAACAGATCTGATCTGATCGGCTTTCGATGTCTCTCTTTTCTTCTTTTCACTCCAGCTTTTGCTTTGACAACGCCGACTATTGGACGCCGAGGGTTACCGATTGGGCAAGACGTCGGCTACGGATCGCTAGTAAAAACACGATGTGACGTGGAAGCGTTCGCCTGGTATTTGGCGAATCGAATCGTCCGAGGAGTTTTCAAGAATGTCTGGACAGGTTAAAATGACAGGTGAGGATGGCAGATTGTAGATCGTTTCCTGTTTCGCAATCTTAGCTGTGTTGATGTCGTTTGTGCATGCGAACGCCTCCTGCCAGTTTGCAATCACTCGCCTCCCGCAACTGCCAAACCAGGCAAGTGAAAAAAGGCAAGGTTATGGCAGCCGGCCCAAATATGGGAATGAAGTATACAATGGTTACACTTTATGTGAACCCGCCCGGCTGGTACGAAAATTTAATTAACTTTGTCTTCCATCTTTCCCGCATGCACTACGGACCTCCTGCGCTTGGTACCAAGGTAGGCAATCGGGTGTCGGGAAGTGCAATTGGAACACAAACCCCTGCTCTTGGACCTGCAGCTTTCAGCTTGAGAGGCTATGAGTATGGGCTGTCCTGAAGCTGCGGGTGGCATTTATCACTGTCAGAACCCCCCATCGCGTAAAGCATCAAATCAACGAGTTTTTCGCTCTACATAGTGTACTTGTTTCCCAATTGCAAAGCAAGGGGTGCTCTCTGTCACATACTGTGACGTCCAAGATCTCTGATCGCCTATCTCGGCAGGCAGGGCCGAATTGTCTCAGCGGCGTTCTCTAACCCGGATTTCGTCAAAATGCCTGTCATCATCATTGCTCCACTCTCAGCCTCAGTAGGGCTGGTCTTGGCAATTGTTTCACTCTAACAACAGCCCGTTCAGCACACGACCGCGACTCTGACATGTAATTATCAGCTGTAGGATTGCATTGCCCGACCATTCCTTTCTTCGATTGAGTCGCTTGTTCCGGACTGATGAGATTACTTGAATCCTTAGGTGCTGGCGCTTGCACCTTGTTTTCGACACTGTCTGAAAGCTTCGCTAGTACCAAAACAAGGCCGAACATGCTCTTGAGCATCCTCATAAGCCAAGCTCGACTACCAAAGGAGGATATGAATGGCAGTATCCTTGATTTCCCACCACAGCCAAGACTACAAATGTAATACTTCGCTTGTATCCATGTTAACTTCGCTGCAGGAGCATGACTCAAAATATGGGGATGAGAACCGCATGACCGGTTCCCAGCGACATTGCCCGCTTCTCATAGCTCCTCTGGTCTCGTCCTTCACGAGTTATTCGACATACGTCTAACTTCTAGGATAGGGCAGTCCGCCAGCGGAACCGCCGTCGGCTTCTCCATGCGGACGTGAATGTCCCAGAACTCCCCCACGGCTGCCCGCCCCGGGGCTCTGTCTCGGAATCGCAACTATAGATTACGGCAATAGTATCGGCAATATGAGTGCCCAATGCCTCGAGGGTGTCCAATTCCGACTCCTCCAGCGTCTGTGATCTTGTCAGCAGTGTTTCGGGTCAGTCAGGGTGTACGTGGCGGACCTGGACGACGAGGGTCTCGAGCTCCGTGTAGAAGTCCTTAGATGTCCAGACGATTTGTTTGGCCAGCCGCTCGTTGCTGTTGACCCCGACCAGGGTCGGCACCCGGAGGCTGTCGAGGCGTAGCGCGACGGCGGACAGGGGGGCCGGCTCGCCGAAGACGGAGGTGGCCGTGAGGCTGACGCCGGAGCCGAGAAGGGACGCCTTGGGGAGAGTGATGGTGAGCAAGAGAGAGGGGATGCCTTCCATGGTCTCGGCCGGGAGGAAGGGCGCCCGGTGTTCCTTGATCCTACCAGCCAGCACGCCGGCGCTAGCCTCGGTCTGCTTGCCGGTGAGATGGTACCAGATGTCATCGAGGGCCTCGACGGCCGTCGGTTTGTAGTCGTCCTGAATAGGGACGGTCCACTCCCTGATGCCCTCCAGTATTGCCTTGCTCAGACTGCCGTAGTGCACCGTGTCGACCCCGTGGCATCCAGCCTGAAATTGCTGTCGCTACTGGAGTTGACGATGCTACCATCCCTGCCGTAGCCTCGCAAATGCCCGTCAATCCCGCCGTATCAACTATGAATTGTTGAAGCAGCGGGCCGAACCGGAACGGCACGTTCTGCTGGCCGCGGCGAAGATGCAGGATATAATGGCAATACTGAGTCTACTTCGCCTTAGCAGCTGCCTGCTAAAGTTGTTATCGCCCGTAACTGCTTTCCCATCCTCCTCCACCTACGCGCGGCGAGCTCTTCGGGCCTGGTTTTCCCTGCGCTTGTCGGCGTCTTGGTGAAGCGGTATAGCCTGGTGAAACCCCGTATCGTCATATGGGAACATGAGAGGGTATGCTAGAGGGATGTATGCGGGACTGTGTGGGTGAACTGAGTGGAGGTGTATGACTGTCCCATCTTTGTGACGCTCTGCCAGGATGTTCTCTTTACGAAAACCTAGCAGGAAAGGGGGCGCGCCCTCTTGCCGCGGGGAGTTGTTGAGCGCAGCCACCTCCGGCGACATCTACCACACGCGCCGCCAGCCCATGGGCCCTACACGCCCGGCAAGTCCTGAAAGGGGCACCAGCGCGGTTGGTTTCGAACAATGCGGTGGCCAGTATTTATCTGCAACCCGCACAATACTGCTCAGGGTTGCAACAGGGGCATGGGCCCGGGGTGGTCGGCCGTGAGGCATATCGGTAGAAAGAAACGGACCGCAAAAAAAACAGTGAAACCCAAAGCAGCAAAAAACAATGGAGCCACAGCCGAGGAAAAGTTGTAGGCAAACCAGAAACGAAGAAGACTGAAGATAAAACAAACCATTCTACGGGGTGTTACGGGACGGGATCAACACCAAGGAGACACCAGAAAGGCGCCCTTTCAGCGGGGCGTTGCAGGATCAACAACTGAAAAGAAAGGAAAGAAGAAAGTAGAGAAGAAAACGGCGTGCAAAATAATACATTACCGTATCACGGGTGGATCGGAGGTGGACTGGCGCAAAGGTTCGCTAAAAGCAGATTGCAGTCGGCGCTAGCTGCCACTAACTGCTAAGCCGTCAAATCAGTTAAGGCCATTACGGGGATTTGCAGGGCTCACTAACAGGCTGTTAGTGTTGCAGGCCGCGCACAGCAAAAATGCCAGGCAAGTGCGATAATGGTCTAACCGTGTTTTCGCGTTGGCAGCCTCGGCAGTTCCCGCTCTGCCTGGTTATTCAGGAATTCTAAAAAGTCATGTACAGTGTGTAACACCGAATTCGGTTCAAGGGACGGCCCGGGGTAACCTACATGGCAAAACAATGGGCCTATTGGTTCGAGCGTCTCACAATGATCGGGACTGAAGATTCCACGCGACACAGCCGGAGTATATCGCTTCTATACACAAAAGAACTCTATAAAGTAAAGTCGATTCGCCGAGACCTGTGTTGACCCAAGGTTGCTACCTCGTCTTGTCCCAGACAAAAAGAAGAAAAGGAGGGAGAAAAAGAGAACTACCCCCCCAGGGAGTCGAACCCTGCGCCGCGGAATGAGAATCCACTATGTTAACCGATACACCAGAGGGGTTCAAGCGGTTACTCTTTGTTGGGAGGGAGAAGCTCAGAATTGGCCAATAGGTCTTCTGTGTGGGTTGGGAAGGAGGTGTTTGTGGAAGACCGGCTGCACCTGCCACTTCTCGGGCCGTTCTATCAAACATCGTGTCACGTTCCGTTTCTCAGGTCAGCTAACCGAGTTCAGTGGCAGTTGCTGACCCTTGGGTACGTCCAGACGTGCTACGGTCTGCGTAGTTTGGGTTGCGGCGAAGACCTTGTTGGAAATGCAAGTCAATAGTATCTCAGAAGGCTCCGGTCATCACGCCTCCTGCGGTCTTTCGGCCTTCAATCTGAGATCAAGCGGCTGACACCCCTGCTAGTTTGAGAGTTACAGGGGCTGTCTTGAATGCTCTTCACAGTGAGTGTTCTTCACAACAACCAGGCGGGTATCTCATGGTGTTGGAAACTTGACCTCTCTTTACTAAGTCCCTACCGTAATTTGCTAGGAGCACTGGGCATGTTTGGTTGTTGTCTCGGACGGGCAAATGTCGGTGGCCAAAGACTATATATACATTTCGATGGGTTTGGAACTCTTGACTTGCCCGGGGTCAACCACCCAGTTCAGTTCAGTTCATGGACACGCTCATCCTTAGAGGCACAATCAAATAGCCTCGCTCTCCGCGTATGCCCTGACCCCTGATGGCCCTTGATGGTCCAGGAAGGCTCTGGGAGCGTTGCGTGTCTTGCACTGCCGCTGTGGCGTTGTATTTATGGACGTCGAAATCCTGGCCAATCAGACGGTCGCATTGCGCTGCTAGAGAGGACCCTGAATGGGCTGTGATGTCACCCGAGACCCCGCGATTGGATCCCGGAGTCCATCGTTGGGCAACACTCGTCATCCGATGGCGCAGCAACCCGGGGGGCTTTCCACTAGGTAAGATCTGACAAGATCCCAAAACATGTCCCGCAAAATGCCACGGGCATGGCGAATGAGTGGCCATATCCCGGAGTCTCTGATTTGACAACCCCGTCCATCCTGTCGGGACCTGACGCTTTAAGGATGCCCGGATCCCGCTCCCGCTTTGCGTGCAGCCACTTCTTTCACTTTCCTCCTCCTTTCGGCGACCCGACGACGGCCTCGCCCATCAACTCCCAATTACCCACACCCAACCTCTCGCTTGAGGCTCAACTGCCGAGTGTCTGACCTCTGAATACCACGGCCATGGCTGCCCGCTCGGGCACGGCCCTCAAGGGTCTACACCTCTTCCTCCGGGGCGTGCAACTCCTCTGCGCGACCCTCATCCTCGCCCTGTTCGCCTACTTTTTAGCAACCATCTCGAGCCACGGCCTGCCGACGCCCGACTGGGTCCCCGCCGTCCTCGGCATCTCAGGCGTCGCCCTCGTCTACGCGGCCCTCTCGGGCGCCGCCGTCTGCTACATCGGCGCGGCGCGGCACCCCTTCACCTCGCTGTTGACCCTGGTCCTCGACGCCGCCTTCACGGGCGCCTTCATCTACATCGCGGCCGCCAACAAGGCCGGCTCGGGGTCGTGCACCGGGACCACCATCGACACGCCCTTCGGCACCGGCGACGCCGCCAAGACCCCCGCCGACGGCCTCCCCACCTTCCGCCAGGCCTGCCAGATGCAGTCGGCGTGCCTCGCCGCCGCCGTCGCCGCCCTCTTCTTCTTCGTCTTCTCCATCCTCACCGAGCTCGCGTCCATCCGGCACACGCGCAAGCAGCGCCGCGCCCTCGCTGTGGGGATCGACCCCGTCTACCCGGGCGGCAGCGGCGGCGGCGGCCCCCTCGCGCCCCCGCCGAAGCGCGGGTTCTTTGGGAGGATGCTTGGCGGCCGCGGCAAGCGCCGCGATACCGGCCTCACCATGGGCCCGAATCCGAATGCGCTGCCCCAGCATGCGCTGCCGGATGATGTGCGCGAGAGCTATGCGACGGACCGCACGCGGGTGGGGACCGCGAATGGGAATGATGCGCACAAGTACGAGAGCCTGGGGTACGGCGGGCATGAAATGAGTGATGATGTCGGGGGGAGGGGACATGGGGACTTGGGGGTCGCGGGGGATGGGTTCGGGCGGGGGAGGGAAAGGGATGAAATCTCCCTGGCGCAGTATCCCTCGGCGAACTACCGCTATGATGATGGTGTTTATGACCGTGCGTGATTCCTGATGGAGTGGGTTTGGTTGCGTGCGGGTGTTTGGGATGATACCTAGAATGTGATTACCGGCGTATCTGTGCATTGGTGGATCGGGAATAGCCTCTATTGGAGCATAGTACATAACATGATGAGAAAACATGATCGGAGGAACGAGGTCTCGTCACCTCATGATACGTTATGTATAGCCATGGTGATCGCTGAGCAATGCTCCCAACCTAGGCTGATTCTACAAACAAAAAAAAAGCAAATCCCTCCCACCCACCCGAGTAGCCATATTGACATCACTCACCACCCCCCGTCATGCTCCCAATCCAACCTCACCGAGGCATCATCGCCCTCTACCTCGGCCCAGTTCAAATCCACCTTATCCAGCTCCCTGACAAAGAAATCCTGCTCCTCCCTCAGCGCAGCCCGCACCTCGGCCGCCATCTTGTCCGGGTACTTCCTCATGTTGAACCAGTGCGTCAAACTGCGCAGGGCCTGCTCGAGCGGCAGGGCCTCCTCAACCTCGGCATCGACATCGGACCCCGCGAGCCACTCGTCGCGGAGCTCGGGTCGGCAGTGCAGGTACACGGCAGTGATGACGCGCATGTTGCTCTGGCGCCACTTACGGCCGCAGTACGGCACCTGGTTCTTGAACAACTTGAGTGTGTACAGACGGAGCTCCTGCTGCGGGACCTTCAGCGACTTGCGCAATATGCCCGACGACTTGTACTGCACCATCAGCAGGTTGCGATGCGCTTTGTGCTTGCAGATCTTCTGCATGACCCGCAGATAGTTGATCAGCGCGAAGAAGTTCCGCCGTGAAAAATCGGTGATGGGCTCCTTGGGAAGCGGGTTCACCGGGTACCCGAGCTCATCGACCTCGGGGCGGGACACCGACGGCGGGGATGCCGTCCCCATGCCAGCGGGGACGTTGGGCGGTGATGAACCCTGTGCGATGTCGGGTTCGGTTGGCGACCGTCGACGCTTAATCGGCGGTGGTGCGGCTTCGTCGTCGCTGTCATCTTCGAACTCTGTTGATGTCGGGTTGGGAATTCCGCCGGGGGGGATTACGCCAGCCCGGGAACCGCAGAAGTAGAAGAAGCTGCCGAAGGCTGTTAGTGAATGGCCAGGTTAGAGCAGGAGAAACTACAAACCTCTGCTCAATGCGGTCGGTTTTACTTTCCACCACTTGCTGAATATCGTGCAAGGCGAACAACTTAAGTACCAGCGGGAGGTAATTGGAATCCAGCAGGAGCTGAGTCATATACTCAAATTTGAGAACATCTGTATTGACTCTGTCAGCAGTGAAAATAGGAGTGGGGAGACGTTCAGGAAGGGGCTTACGCGATATTTTCAACCACTTCAACAGAAGAATCATGATTCCGGTGACAGCTTTAGCGCCGATCTCCCTACTTCTCGCCTCATCTACATCGCTGTCCGACGGAGAGGCCAAATCACCCTTGCCAGTACCATGGAGGCCATTCGGTGCATCCTGTGGTCTTCCCTGAGGTGGCCCGCCGTTCATGCGTCCATTGTTTTGGCTCGGAAGAGGGGGTTGCTGCTGCCCGTTCTGACCAGGTGGTATCAAGTTGCTAGCGATCGCCACTATGGCCTTCAGCAATACGATAACCAACGACTGGAGATGCGGCAATGCCTCTTTCTACAAACTCAGTTAGCAGGGCCCAAACCAAACCGTCCCCCCAGGGGAACATACGTAGAACTCTTCCACAGCATCAAGACGCTCCTTCGTCCGCTGGTTGACCCCCCTCGGGCCATAGTCAACCTCTGCGTCCGAGCCCTTCTTTTCTTCATCACCACCCGCCGGCTTATTAAGCCCCAGCTCCTCCTTCTCTTCAAGCGTAAGTGATGAGAGATCAAGCTCATCAACAATGTCGTCATCAGCCCCGTCCCAGCCGCGCTCAAACTTGAGGAACTTCTCCCGCTCGTCCCACAGCTGTCGCATAGTACGCGTCATCCGTACTCGCTTGGAGAATAGCTCGCCGGCCTCGAGGATCGAGGCGGGAACATCACTGCCCTCCCACCTTCTCCCTACTAGCAGGTCTTGCAGCCCAGCGCCACCCTTGCCCCCAGCGCTGTTGCTCGAAGCATCCAACGGTGGGTACATGAAGGGAAAGTTTTGGTTGGTCTGGTAGTTTTGTTTTTTCCCGCCTTTACCGCCGACGCTAGGGCTAGGCGGGGGCGACGGGGCGGGTGTCGCGATGTGGACTGGCTGGTGCAGGATGGAGGCGCCGCCGCTTTGACCGGAAGGGCCCGGGAGAATACCGTTTGCAGCATTGCTCCTCGTGGGCTGGTGATGTAATTGTGGGAGGAGAGATGTCTGCTCTGCCTCCAGGGGTATTACTGGCCGAGGAGGGATATAGGCGGGATATTTGGAGGTGATTTCTTGGCGGAATACGTGATAGTCGAGGGGGGACGCGGTGATTGTCTCCTTTTCCTTGTCGTCCCCTTGCGACTCGTTTACGGCTTTCTTGGTCTCTGCAATGTCTTTGGACCCTCCAAACACAACTAAAATCGACTTCCAGAAAAGGAGGAAGACCTGTTCTCGTCAGCGCACGCCCCGTGCCTGCAAGGGACCTCCCAATGCTTACCTGAGTCTGTGGGAGAACGTAGGCGTCGTCCCACCTCAGCTTTGCCGTGGCGTGAAGCATGAAGTGGACGAGATTTGGGTCGAGGGCAACTAAATGAACACGTTAGCAAGTTGTGGTTTGCTGTGAGGTGGGTTGCCCATACGCAATTCTTGCTGAACCGATTCCATCTCTTCTGGATCGTCGAGAACCTCCTGCACTGCAATATACATGATAGTCATCAGATGTATCAGCTCTTCAGCCTGCAGCTGGAGATTTTGGGGAAGCTCGT